GAATGGGGGAACCAAGGAAATCACATGTGATTTCCTTCTAAAGCTCGCCCACTCGCACGACCCACTCGCCTTGTCGGGAGCGTGTACTACACTCGCCAAAGGGGAATCACATGTGATTTAGTACAAAATCACATGTGATTTCCTTGGTTCCTTCATTCTTGCAAATGTGTGTGTTCTTGTATGATCCTCCCTCTTAATATATATATATATATATATTAATTATTACTTAATAATACAATTTTACAATTTTTGACTGGTCAGTCAAATTAATTATTTAGGGGAATTGCATCTATATGCTTACAAACTTGAATAATTACATGTATATCCTTGCAAGCTTCTAAACTACATTTATATCCTTGCAAAACTTAAATAATTACACCTATATCCTTATATCTATTTTATTTATTTTTAAACTATTTTAAAATAATTAAAAGATATCTTAAATATAATTTAGATGTTAAATTTCCAATCTACCCTTGTTTCTAAATCAATATCCATTAATCTCCAAATCTAACCTTCTTTTTCTAATCAAAATCCTTGAATCCCCCATCTTCTTCCAATCTTCCTTCCTTAATCGGTGTGTACATGTCTTCCTTATAGACCACAAACGAACTTTAATCGATGCATCGGCTTGAGCAACATTCCTCGCCATAGTCGTAAGAAGCGCGATCCCATGCTCAGCCGCTGCAATGGTGTTCGCCATTGGCGCGTTAACCACAAGGCAGCCGTGCTCCGTGGCGGCTCTGGATCCACGTTGTCGATCTCAAGGCCGGCGCGTCCGTCGACCTTAAGCCGGCCGCCGGATGATTCAAACACCTCTCGGCTCACCTTAGTACAACTGTGCACGATAATGGCGTCATAGAGCGAGATCTTGGTGCAGAGCTCCTCGAGGCTCAAGTTATACGAGCAATTGACGTTAGCGAACTCTTTCAAGAGATCAAGTCCAGCTTCGTCTAATTTATCGGCCACAAGGACGGTATGTTTAGCGTCCATGGCGAAGACGATGAACACCGCACGCGGCGGCGGTGGTTGTTGGAGAGAGACAGATTGGGAATTTCAATTGGAAAGATGATAGCTTAAGGGGAGATCGAGAGGAAAGGAGGTTAGATGAGGCTGAAGAAGTTGAAGCTAAGGCCTATCATTCGTGTACATATATTTGACAAATTGATCATTCAATACAATTGGGCTTCAGCTAAGTGGAATCCCCTGGTTGAAGTTTTTCGTTGCTCTTGGCATCGACTCAACTTTTGGTTAATGATAACCTAATTACATGCCTTTTCATCACTTTCGAATTTGTAAGTCATTGGTTTGGCCTACCATTTCAGTTGTATGAGCCAGGATCTGGAAATTTCTTGACTACTACATGCTTATCTTATGTGGGTTTTCATAGAATTGGGGGATTTGTTGTTGGTTTATGCTTTGATGAGATCAAAGAGGGGGGAAGATCTGATCTCCTATGAATTGTGTTAAAGAAAATAAGCTCTTCTGGGTGTTGGATTATCAAAAAGAAGGTTACAAATGGTGTGAGATGGGGTAGTGGGTTTAGTGGTCATCTTCTTCAAGGAATTTAATTTGTTCAAATTCTCAAAGAAGAAGAAGACACCTACACGTCGATTAAGGAAGAGTAAGGAAGAAGATGGGGATTAATGGATTTTGATTTAGAAAACAAAGGTAGATTAGGGATTAATGGATTTTGATTTAGAAATAAGGGTAGATTAGGAATTTAACATGTAAATTATATTTAAGATATTTTTTTAATTAATTAAAATAATTTAAAAATAAATAAAATAGATATAAGGATATAGGTGTAATTATTTAAGTTTTACAAGGACATAGATGTAGTTTAGAAATTTGCAAGGATATACATGTAATTATTCAAGTTTTGTAAGGATATAGATGTAATTCCCCCTTAAATGTAATTTATTAGTCTTTAACGTAGTCAAATCATAAAAAAAACTAATTAACTGAAGTATCATTTAATTGTCTCTCTCTTTCTCTTATATTGTTCTTTTTTTTTTTCTTTTTTATCAATAAATTTTAATAATAATTTATGTATAATTATTTTTATCTTATATATATCATAACTAAAATAAAATTTGTATAAATAAATTAAAACGAGAAATATTTTGTTTTTTTTTAATTAAAAATAACATATAATTTATTTTATAACCATACACTTTCAAACGTACATAGTTATATGGTTTGCTCATATATAATATAATAAAATATTTATAAACTAAAATAATAACTCATAATTTTTGTTTTATCAATATTTTGATAGAATATATCGTCAATCATTTTATAATTTTAAAACTCATAAAATAATTATCATATTTTCCATTTTTTAGAATTCAAGAATAATCAACACCCGTAGAAAACTTATCATTTTGAATGTAAATAAGTTTATATTGTTTTTAATAAGAAGTAATATTCTTCTAATAAAAGTATAAAAACTAGTGATTAATATTGAGAATTAAAAATCATATAAATATAATGACAAATGTTGTTCATATTACCTTTTATAAAAATATTTTTCTTTAAAAAAAAGATACTACCTTTTATTTTAATGTTAATACAAAGAAACAAAAAAAATACAAATGATAATAAATTTTTTAACATAATATCATATGATTCATAGACTATTTTATATTCTATATGATATTTGTCGTCCAACTACGTTTGATTTGACTTATGCTGGTTTGAAGACTTTTATCATCTAAGACGTTTGTTTAATATCTTTTCTCTCTTGTATCAAAATACAAATTTGATTACCATATATTTTTCAGTCTTCATTTGACACGAGGGAGAATTGGTGTGGAAAGATTTGGAATTGTGAGAGTATTTTAAATGCAAACATTCTTTGAAACCAAACATAGAATTGGACAACATTAAATTTCAAATTCCTTAACTGATACCAACCCCACAAACAAGCATACTCGAAGGTGGTGTTTGGAATCTAATTCCATATTGTATTTGATTTGCAAGACATTAAAATGATACAATTTGATTTCAGTAATACAAAATGATAGAATTGTTTTTTTTTTTTTACTTTATGTTAGTTTGTTTTATAGCTTATATGTTAAAATATTATATATATATATATATATATATATATATAAATACGAGGGAAGTTAATTTGTAAACCATAAAAAACATGTAAACCGTGGAAACTCGTGGTTGCATAAATTAAATCAATGAAATTGATTCATGGAGTTGTTTAATATGATGAAAATGTTTCATAAACATCAAATTTTGATGAAATTGTTTCATATTTTGTTGTTTTTATTCGTATGAAACTTTTTGCTCGTTTTTGTGAAACTTTTTCATTTTTACGTAAATAAACACCTTCATATGAAACAATTTCATCAAAAAAATTTAGTATATGAAACACTTTCATCATATTAAACAACTCTACAAAAAAAATTTCATTGATTTACGTATGTAACCATGAGTTTACACGGTTTTTTTGGGTTTACAAATGAACTTCCCACTATAAAATACACACACACACACACACACACACATATATATATATAGAGGGAAGTTCATTTAGAAACCAAAAAAAGAGTAAAAACTTAAAAACCAATGGTTTTTTGGTTTAAATCAACGAAAAATCTTCGTAAAGTTATTTATTATGATGCAAATGTTTCATATAATTTATTTTTTGATGAAATTGTTTCATATTTTGGTGTTTTTTATATAAAAATGAAAAGGTTTCATACATTTTTCTATGCTTATGAATCTGTTTTATGTATTTTCTTTAATCCTATGAAACCTTGTTATTTTTACAAAAAAAAACATCAAAAAATGAATTATATGAAACATTTGCATCATATTAAACAACCCTACGAAAAGTTTTCGTTGATTTAAGCTATGAAACCATGAGTTTCTACGGTTTTTACTCTTTTTTTGGTTTCTAAATGAACTTGACTCTATATATATATATATATATATATATATTATAAATGAGTTCCTAAAAACATTGTGAACCATGTTTTTAGTTTGAACTTGTGAACCAAATCCTAGCAGTCTCAAAATCGATGGTCAAGATTAAATGGGAAGTTTCTTCGAAAATAAGTATCGTATACAAAAAAAACTACCCATTAATATTGACCATCGATCTTGCATACGGACGACTAGTATCTGGTTCACAAGTTCACACTAAAACATCGTTCACAAATGAAACTCCATCTATTATAAATATAGGGTCAGGTTCAAATGTGAACTCATCTTCCATTGTGAACGTGAAGAACAGCCGAGAGCACGCCACATGACATATTAAATATGAATATTCATGTATTATTCAAAACGAATACAATGTTATTCATTTTGAATAATACATGAATATTCTGACTCAATATGCCACGTGACGCAATTTTAGTGGTCCTCGTGTTTACAATGAAATATGAGTTCACATTTGAGCTTTTCTTTTATAAATATATATTCTAAATATTATAAAATTATTATATATAAAAATTATAAATTACAATAGATATTTATATATATATATACTATATTAGAAATATAGCTCTAATTCAAAATTCTCTCAAGTCATCCCCTCATGAGGAATTGCCAAACCACTTGACTCTTCAACCATTCCAATATAAAAGATTAGTCAATCAAATAATAGATAGTAAACGGGTCGTATTTAAAATAAATGAATTGCTAGTTGTAGAATATTATTCTCACCGGACTTAAACCTAAAAAAATAAAGACTAATAAGAATAAGGGTTCGAGCAATTTTGCTCCTTTTCGGCGAAGTAAATTAACCTAAGGTCAACATAAATAAGGGTTTAATCTGGATTATTCTTCCAATAGATATCATGACCGAGAGGTAGATTTTCATTCCTTGTCTACTCTTTTATTTAAAAGTATTTTTGGTACCACAACCATTAGGAATAGAGAATCCATATGAAGGAAAGGTATAACTCTTAGAATAGCCTTATTCATTGATATTTGATCTATTGTGGTTAGTAAGATCGGTAAACTAGGTGAAGGTACGGAAAGAGAGGGATTTGAATCCTCGATAAGCAAAAGCCTACACAGCAGTTCCAAAGCTACACCTTCAATCACTCGACCATCTCTCCTACATAATGATTATGACCAAAAAAATGATAATCGAGTCAATAGTGAATCGTTCATATTAGATTATTGGGTAGGTACAACCAATTAATTCTAACTATAAAATAAAAAAACCGAAATTTTTTCCTCATAGCTAGTAAAAGCAGGATCCTTCCTTTGAATTGAATGACGACCGTAACGGATGTCAGCTCAATCCGAAGGAAATTATGCAAAAACTTTATAGAGTTACTATGAAGCCATGCGACTAGATATTGATCTCTACGATCGAAGTTATATACTCTATAATATAGGACTTATCCACACAAGTAACGGAGAACATACGAAAGCTTTGGAATATTATTTTCGAGCGCTCGAATGAAGCCTATTCTTACCACAAGCTTTTAATAATATGGCTGTGATATGTCATTATGTGCGACTATCTCCACTATAGAAAGAAAAAAAAGTAAAGAATGATCAAATTCGCTAGTAAATACTAGACAAAAGGGCTTTCTACATATACATCATCTAAACCAACGATTTTTATCGGCCGTAGAAAAGAAAAAACTTCATAGAAGTTGAAATATGAAGAAATAGATATCTTTAGTTGTTTTATTTTGTGGGTAAAGGATTAACTGATAGAGTAAGAACCGTAAAGATCAATTAACAAGGTTTTGGGCCGAAACAATAATAACTGCTTACTTATTTCATGATGTGAGACAAACGCTAGGAACTCACTTTTTGTAATAGAGTTGATCTACCAAGGTATTGAGTAACGGTGTAGGATCAGATCCAAATAATAGTAAGTCTTTCCTTTCAAAAGTCTTTTTCAAAAATTCTATATGATATGAAAATGAGATAGTTACCTTTGAGAAAATTATAATGATATGTGAAATTTCTATGTTTTATTCTTCTGAAGGTGGGAGAAAAGATAAAACTAAAATAAACCGGATTTTTAATCCAAACTTAAGATTTAAGTTTGAAACTCATTTTATTACCTTCTTTTCATTAACCCGAAAAAATTGGATAGATCTAGGACAAATCTTATTTAGTTAGACATGGTAGATTCAAATGGGATACCAAAAGAGTTGATTGCCGGGCGGTATGAGGTAGGAAACTCTCAAGTACGGTTCTAAGGGAATGAATTAACCCACCTATTCCGACCAGGGAGAACAGGCCATTTGGTAGGGGGATTCTGAAATTGTGAAGGCTTGGTTCAACCAAGACGCTGAGTATTGGAAACAGGCTATAGCATTTACTCCTGGTAGTTATATTGAAGCGCATAATTGGTTGAAGATCAATAGACGTTTTGAATAAAAGACGATACATTTTCTTTATTTTAGTTATCAGTTAGATTTACATTGTATTAGGTTTTTTTATTTTGTTATAATTAATTGTTTGTTGGCCCCATTAGTCAAAGAAAATATATTATTCATTTGGGAAGAACCAATCAAAGAATTTCTTTATATACGCCTTCTCAATCTAAGTGTTCTATTTCGTATCGTATTTCGTAGGAATAAATGATACATGGATAGCTTACAAAATCCATTTTTTCTTGTTTTTCTTTTTATCTATATCTATAAAAAAAGACTATTAAAACTAATCAAAAAGATTTCGAATCACTAATATATGAAAATTTATTATTCTTATTAAGGGTTACTGTATGCTCACGTCATTTGGAATAGAGTTACAGTACTCTATCTAAAAAAACATGAAGCAGTTCCATCTAAGAACTTCTAATTGAGATTTGCAATATACTAGGTTGCACAACATATATATTGATATATATTATTTCCAAATAAAATTAGATATCTAAAGTTCAAATGAATATATAAAGTTATAAAATTAAAAATATATATTATTATTATTATTTAAAATCTTATCGAAAACCATATATAAATATAAATGATATTATTTCAACATATATGAATAAAACTAAATTTTATATATAATTGAATACTTATTATAATATTAACCGTTTATTTAATAAATGAAGTAGTTATTACATTTAATATCACTAAATAAAATTATAATTAATACGTATGACTTATTACTAGCTTTTGCTGTTCAAAAAAAAAAAAAACTTAAGCCATCCGCAGCCGGCCGGTACGCATGGCTGTGCCAGCGGTAACACCGCCGAGGCCACCCGATATGGCACCGGTAGTGGCACCCAACGGTGCTACCTTACCGTCCTCTTTCACACTCCTTCACACACACACACACACACACATATATATATAATACATACAATCTATATATATATATATAAACATAATATTTTAGTATTTAATAAAAATAGATGGTATGAGTGGTACGGGTAAGGATGAAATGATATGGTAGTGGTAAGGTGGTGGTAAAGCTAATGTGGCGCTGAGGTGGCAACCTGTATGACCTGTACCACCTGTACGGCTGTGGATGGCCTTATTACTAACTTTCTTACTAATAAATAACATAGTTGTTGTTACATTTAATATGACTAATTAAAAGCGATATATTTATAGCTAAAATTATAACCAAAACTGAAACTTATTAGAATCGGTATAGCAATATGTATAAAACACACACACAACACGCACACACTATATTTGTGTGTGTATATAGAGAGAGAGAGGAAATTTCAAATGTGAAGCACTTTATTATTGTGAACATGAGGACAGCCGAGAGCGCGCCATGTGACAATCTGAAAAACACGCGACTAAGTTTTATGCATACTGCATAAAGCTATCACTCAGACTCAATAAAGTTTTATGAAGTATGCATAAAGCTTAGTCACACTCTGACGCAGACGACGGGTTAGCTTTATTCAGTTTGCATAATAGCTTTATGCAGTATGAATAAAGCTTGAATGAAGCTAACCCGCATGCTTTATGCAGACTGAATAAAGCTAAGTCGCAGAAGTCAAATTGCTCCGTGGGCGTGCCCTTGGCTTTCCTCATGTTTACAATAAAAAAAGTATTTCACATTTAAACCCACCCCTATATATATGTATATATGTATAAGATTCAAATAACCAAACATATAAAATAAGAAAGAATAACTTACTGCGATCATTATAAATTATAACATTTATCAGGAACCATATTTACTGTTCATTGAACAGTACTCACAACCTTTTCAAACATTACAATTTTAGTCCCTAAACTATAATAGTTATTCACTTTATATTTTTTAGTTTTTTATATTTCATTTTATGTTTTAACCGTATATCGTATATTGGCTAAAATATATTATAGAAATACGTTTTAATTTTAACAACTTACGTCATTATAATCGTATCGTCGATACGTTCGAAATGAGTCTAATATTAAACATATTTTGATGTGATTATTTTATTATATACTACTAGTTAACATACCTTCGCGATGCCGCGGGTGTGAAGGATTGTAAAGTGTTTCTTATATGTCCGAATTCTGGAATTTTAAAAGGATTGTAAAGTGTTTCTTATTTGTCCGAATTCTGGAATTTTAAAAGTTTTACGATTTTACAGGGAAATAAGTAGTGTGTGAACATAAAATGACAAAAGATATAAAAATATATAATAAACCTTGCCCACTTATATACTCATAATCAATACTTCTTTTTATCACAAATTCTTGTATTTTGACGGATTTTCTCAAAGGCCAAACTTGATACCAACTCTAAGGAACTTTTGGTAGCTCCATTCGTTGTCTTTGTAGTTACGACCTGACATGCTAGATGAAATTTCCTATGTTAGAAGAAGGAGCCATGTAAATGCGTTAGTAGTTGAGATCTAATACCAGCTTTCAAGTGCATCATGTTAAATACAGTAAAAAAGAAAGAGTATCCATAACAAGATTCTTAGTCTCACAAATAAAAAAGATGCAATTTTGGATTCGGAAATTGATTAATCTAACCAAAAGGTTGAAAATGTATCCTTTTTTTCCAAAGGAGGTAATAGTAATTCATTTTCATACCATTTTTACAAGTGAATATTTTCCATTGTGAAGGTGCAATCACATTGGATGTCACAACATCATCGTCACGTGCAAATGAGATCCAATCCACTAAATGCTTTCAAGCAGTGCTTTTAGAGTTGCTCAATTCGCAGACAATTTTTTTTATTATCATTAATAAAATAGATTCGTTCAAATCTTTTTTAAGTTCCATGATTAAAAAGGGTACCTAAATGGATGCCATCATCTTTTAGAATTCGTTCTTGGTTTCGTTGCACATTATATAATGAATGTATTCATTTGGCATTGGCAACTTCTTCCGGTCTGCTTGCTCCTAACCGTGGAAAATAAACTGTTAAGATGTGTATACCACATAATTTGAAAATAGAATTATTTAGGGTTTTCAAAGACATAACATTTGTTGTTCTTATATTTTAAAGACCTCCTTATGCATCATTAGTCTGTACTTTTTGCAACTAATAATCTACAAAATATAATCCAAAATTTATGCTTGGACAAAGTGAGAAGCAAATTATTTTCTAAATAAAATGGCAAGATGTTGAAAACGTCCAAAAGCACATGTCCTACAAGGAATCCATAGTAAATGGTAAGTAATAGTGTATTATATAGATTTTAATGCAACATAAACTTGTTTAACATTAGATAATGACTAAACTTGTAGTTCATGTAACACAATTTACAAAGCATGAGCACATGCAATTGTCAACCATATATATAATTGAATAAGAATAAACTCAAAATCTTGATGCAAAAATGTGACAGGAAACTCATACAAGGTTACCATACCACACAAAATCTTTTGCGCAAATGTAAATTCAGCATAAACGTAATCCGTTCACAGGGACAAAATGCAAAAATTAAAGTAATCCAAATTATCTATTCAAATATTAAAATGTGAGATACCCTTGTTACAAATCCTTACAAATTTAATATCATTTCAAGATTGGATAAAGGCAATGGCACATTCTTTATGCTTTTTATCTAGTACTTTGTAACATTCATAAAAAATCTTGGAAAAGTCCAAGCACATGGAAATCCAATATCCAGCCAAATGCTACTTAATGCAACCCGATAACAACCAATAGCTACTTCTA